GGTTCAGTGCCTGCATGCCAAACTTCTGTGGGTATGAACCCCAAGTGAACATAGAGAAAACATGCTTGTGTACATGAGGCGCTTTGCATGCATGTTTCCTTGTATAGAGAAATGTGGCGTATGCAGAGAATGAATCTGATTTACTAACATGCACAAGGCTGGTGTGTAAAAATGTTTCCACCCACGTGTCATTTGTGCTGTGGTCAGTAACATACATGTGTTTTTGTGTTGTCTTCATAAAGGACATAGTTTTGAAAGGTGGCATCGGATGGCCGGGGTGGAATATTTAGTGACATGAGTCAGCATTGATGTCCATGTGCGTTGTGCGTGACATCCCCTAATCCACCCCCACCCGCTCCTCTGCTGGACAATGAGATGAGAGTGCTGCTTTTGGTTGATGGCTTATGGGAGCTTTGGTCGGGAACATTTTGTCTTCTTGTGTGCAGCCGTGTGTCACTGCTATCCAGTCCAGTCCAGAGCAGTGTAAGCTTCTGTACTGCACACACGTATGGTCCTTACTTTCAGGAATTTGTTTTCATATGAGCTGAGAGCACAAACAAGCGTTTTCAGCATGTTGTCCTTGCCACGGACACAAGAATGCTTATGTGCTATAAAGACAATACGTTTGATGCTTTCACTCTTCATATGGCTTTTAGTACTCTAAAACAGAGTATGCTGATTGTGGACAGCAGCCTGAAGGCACAGTATGCCATGTTATGTACGGGCTCAGAAAGCGTGGGCTATTACAGGGCGGCTGAGAAATGCTGAGAAGCCGTCTTTACGAGAGTTTGGGAGAAAGCGTGATGAGCACACTGGTTTGTTCTTATGTAACATTGTTGTAAAAACAGGCTGAGTGGCTGCAGCGCTTGTAAATATTTCCTCTGGGTCCTCGGGGCTCTGAGGAACTGCAAAAACCAGTTCTTACACAACGAAGCACCTCACCGTGTTCTGTGGTGTATTCAGAAGCAAAAAGGCTAAAATCTCGAGCCGACCCCTGCTTCTAGGCTTGGATGTCTATAATTTACGACAGCCAACCTTCCTGTACAGCCCAGCTAACCAGCTTTTCTCACAGTGAATAACAGAGCCACATCTCTTCCACTCTGCTGTCTCCATTCACAGCAGCTGTGTTGGCTCTAATGGTGTGTAAGCTCTTTACATGATGTTAATCTGCTGACAGTCTGCATGCCATCAACCACAGACTCACAACTCTGTGCTGGCGCTGTCATGCTTTGGTCTCCTGCTTATTTCTCTTTGGTTAGATGTTGCCAACTGTGGCTAGCTTCATTTTGACTTGTAAATAATAAATAGAAACAGTTTGATCAGCAGAAAGTGAGGATTTTGACCAACAGGAAGAGGGTTTGACACGGCTTGACATCTTTGGGTTTTGAACCTTTGTTAGAACAGAACTACACATAACACAGAACTTCACAATAAAATAACAAACAATGACTGTAATACCTGCTGTAAGGTGGCTGAGGAAGTAGAGTAGATCATCTGCCAATCAGAAGGTTGCAGTGTTCTTTTCCCAATACTTCATATGAAAAAAAGCTTCGGGTGATCAGTTAAAGTAGAGGAGTACTCTATAAATACTAGTCCATTTACGATTTGTCGTGTTGGGATTGCATACTGGAAATCATGTGCTTCTTTTTCAGTTTCATCCATAGCTGTTGTTTGTATCCCCTCATTCTGTGTTGTGGCACAGTTCCTAACATTTGTCCTGACATTTAACAGGATTGCAGCATTAAAGGTCAGATTAGCATCTCTCACATCCTAAATATCTGCTCATGAGAGAACAACATATTTGTTGTGGTCAAATCATGGTTTAGTGGTTAAAACTCTCACAGCAGAAAGCTCCTGGTTTGAACTTTGGCCATGCTGTGTCAAGATTTCATCCAGATACGGCAGTTTCTTTCCACACCCCATAGATGACCGCATTAATTTGAATATTTTATTTGCCATAAATGAGATTTAGATAAGGTGTGCAGGATAAAGCAGTGTATGAATGTATGGTTAAATCTGGCTTGTAGTCTAAAGTGCTTGGAGTGATGAGTAAGAGTAGAAAGTTGCTGTATGTGTTTGCTGCCCCTGGCAGTCCTACCACTTCCTGTAAGATACTGGTCTCCACTGCTGCTTTTTAATGAGGCAGTCTGCCTTTGAGTTATAAAACAAGAGGAGGCAGCAGGCCGTAGTTCTGTCCAGGATATACTGAGCTTCCACCTGGCTTGTTTTCTTTATTACACTTGCTTATAAAGAATGTTAAACAGAATAATTACATGTTGAATTCAGTGAAAATGGAGTTTCACACTTTTAACCTTTTCTAGTTTAACGACAGCTAGTTTCAGGACGAGAAAACACGACTAACTAGACTTGAAGCTTTAATTTCTCTAATGGTAACACAATGTGCTGTTTAAAACTAGCGATGCTACCTTCATTTGGCTTCCAGTGTGGATTAAACACACAGGGCAAACCTCTGTGCAGCACCTCATGCTCTAATCAGACAGCGAAGAAGAAAAAATACACTTAAAATGCTAAATATTATATGAAAACATGTTTCTACCAAAAAATGTTTACAGTATATTAAAATATGACAAATTAACATCTGAAAAATAAATAAATGGCAGCTGAAAGTGTTGCACATTGTGCCGGGCATTATGGATGCACATTGTTCTGTTCCATTGTTATGCTATTTTTACTCCCGTAGTTTTTGTGAAAGATTTTCTTTCTCTATACAAAGTAAAATAATTTAAGCATCTTAAATCTTAAACTTAGCACTGTGTGTTTGTACTTGTCTATTTTCCCCCATTTATACCCTTTGTATAACTACATTTATTGCTCATGTCAGACATGTGCGTCCTGCTAAGCTGATCCACTTTTGTCCATAGCGTGTGCTGTGATGTTATGCAACATATGAAAAGAGGAACAAAGCGCTGCCAGCCTGAGCTGTTGCATGTCAGCCGGTGAGCTATTATTAGAGCAGTTCTGAACCAAACATGGACACATCCAACAGCAGGAAGTATGGCTGTGTGCGGCAGTGCTGTCATTTTTACTGCAGGTAGACACATACAAATGTGCACCGTTCTACTTTTGCACCCAGTGACCTCAGTGCCTTTGCTATAGCATCCCTGTGCAGTGCACATTTCTTTTCGTTAGTAGTTTGCAGGGCTCTTCAGACAGAACGCCTCTGTTATAGGGTTTGATTCAGAAGAGATTTAAATCATTTTGCATGTCACATGTTACAGTGAGAGAAAATAGTTGATCTGCTTCTGAATTTGTAAGTTTGGTCAAGAAATGAATAGTCTCTATATTGATAGTTTCATTTTGATAGAGAGGGACAGAATATCAATCAAAAATCCAGAAAACATCTATTTCAAAAGTTACGGATTGATTTGTACGTCATTGAGTAAAATCAGTAATTGATCCTTTATAAAGCAGCCAGAGTTCTGATTGGCTGTGTACCCATGCGATACACAGATTACAGATTGTCAGTCAGATACTCCTGATCTCAACGTATGTGTTCTCAACGTTTCCTGATCTCAACGTATGTGTTGAGATCAGGAAAGAGGAATGAACATTAGGGATAAGAGACCTGCACAATGCTGGAATGGGCTACAGACAAATAGCAAGATGGTGACAACTGTTGGTGCGAGTATTCAGAACTGGAAGAAATACACTGCTCAGAAACATTTTAATCAGATTCTAGCTTCAAGTCAATGAAATGTCTGAGACATTGATCTCATCAATTAATTCAGTTGTATTTATATAGTGCCAAATCCCAGGAGGAGTCGTCTCAATGCGCTTTATATAAAAAGGTAAAGACTCTACAATAATAATAATAAAACATACCACCAAGGCAACAAAGTTGTGGTTAAAGAAAATTAATGTCATCGACTGGCTTAGCCTCCTCCCTCAGGAAATCTGTGGAGGGAGGTGATGCTTCAAGTTGTCGAGTGTAATCCAAGAAACCCAAATGGTTTTGCTGACATTCTCTCTACTACTATAAAATTTAGAGACTGTTCTTTGGAAGTATGCAAAGTTAAAAATTCAGACTAGTATCAAATAATTTTCCTCTAGTGTATACGCATTAAAGCTATTCATTATATTGGAATTATACTCAAAAGAAAACGAGTCTTACCTGGTGGGCTTGACTAAACTAGTTCTATGTTTTCTAATTTTTTCCAACCTGTTCTGGCTGTGCGAATAAACATGCGAATGTTTCAATCTTGTGACCTTTATTGTACATTGTGGAAAAAGATCTGGTGATTTCAATAGGTTTGCAGATGTTTAACTTAAACTCATGTGATAGTCACTCTGCTGTACTTTTTAGATTACAAAGTGATGTTGTATATTTCTGCTGATGACTTAATCAGTATAATGTCACGGTTTGCACTGGCAGACTGTGTGGAGGGAGGAAGAGAACCCAAGTGCAGACACTTGGAACGAAAATAATAATTTAACAAAAGGCAAGCCGTTTATTTGTGGCGGGGAAAGGTACAAAACAAAAAGGCAGATGCACACTGAGGCGAAACTAACTAGAACTAAACTGGGAGAAAAACACGGAGGTGTGGACATGATGAGAACTCAACAGACAACCTGACAACGAATGAATGAAAACACAGACCAAATGCACACAGGAGATCAGGGGACGTGAAACTAAACACAATGAACATGGGACACCAGACCTCTTCAAAATAAAACGGGAAACGTAATGAGATGCAGACATGAAACACATGAAGGGTGAGGGAGACTTAAACACCGGGGAATCTAAGAAACGATGAACTATAACAGGACAACATTGGTAATACAGAAATGAACTAAGATAATCTAATGAACGTAAACATAAATATCAAAATATATTACAACTCAAACCACTGGGTCCAGTGACGCAGGATTGTGACAGTATTATTACTTTCGCTACTGATTGATTTGTTCTTTCTGAAATGACTTTTGCTCCTTTATACTGACCTGCTGATTCTTTGTCCCTACATCTGTGTCCTACACAGGTATCGACTCCAGTGGAAAAACGGACCCTGACAAGCAGAATTGTGAGGAATCTTCAATCATAATTTGAGCGCAGAGTGACAGACCGCTCACTCCGAAACAGTCTGGACCAGTGTGCAAGTCAAACCACAACGACGCACTTCCAACTCCACGTAGTTCCAACACAGTCACTGTGGTGCTTTGGGCTGGGGACGATTGGAGCACATCGTTTCTCTGAGAGCGACCTGGGCGTGAAACTGTGCGTCTAATGTTTTGTAGTGGTGGACTTTTGTTCCCATCCTTCCCAGTATAGGCCTGTTCTTAATTGTGTAAGGTCTGTGACTGTGGCACAGGTTACTGTATGTCATTGCACTCTACTGTACCAGTATTCAATCATTGTACTAATGATAGCAGTAGCTGTAAACGGTTGACATTCACCTCCCAGTGCAATCTTGTGCCTTAACAGTGATGTACACCAAGTGCACTTTGATTTCTAAAACTATTTTGTGGGTCGCTTTTGAAAGTTCACACCAAGAAGGAAATTTACTGGAACCCCTTTCATCTCATGTGAGCTGAGCAACTGAGTCTTCTGCTTTCAGTGGCGTTTGACACAATATCCCAGGCTGCATTAATATCATATGGGAACGTGCCTCCCTCTGTCCAAACACTGAAGTACAATCATGAAACTGAAGCTGAGACATTGATTTAAACCAATGACAGGTGAAGTGATTAATGTTGATTACATTGAGGTCAGTTCTACAGCACAGTGAGTAGCACTGTTCCCAACGTCTGGTTTCATGGAGGCCCTCTCTCAAAACCATCGGGGCCCGAGGCATCCCAACATGCTAGTGCCAGACACAACAGGACACCCCCAGAGTTTCTTCCTGTCAGTGTCCTGACAGGTCCGAGGTGTTTCGGGGTCGTGATCAGTGTCGCACTGGAGAAACACTGTGCGCATATGATCAGTTTTGTCCTCTGAAGGAAAAGCAGCAGGCCTGTATCAGCTCCACACAACCCTCCAGCAGGGAGTTCACACTATCCTGTTGGACATTTGTTCCTGATTAATCCAAAGAGCACCTGATGGAAAAGCGCATCTATGTGGTAACGTGTAGTCATCCATGTTGAAAAGATGCTGAGGATGGTTCTGTATTCTTTTGATTGGTGCAGCGTGAATCATGTGTATCGGGTCATATCTAAGCAGCACTGACCCGTTTATGGCAGAAGGACCTCTGATTAGCATTTGGAGACGATTCCCCAAACCAGCCACTGAAGTGTGTTAGACTCTTTGCAGTGTCGAGTGATGCTGTGGTTGGACAGACGCTTGTGGTTGGCTGATCGGAGCCCCTGTAACTCCTGGGAAACTTTTGGGATTTTTGACTTTATTTGTGAAAACTGGTCACTCCAGAAAATGTATAAAGCCATGAGGCTTGAAGGAAAAGAGCAAAATACAGCACAGCAACTTTAGAAGAAGAGCGCAGTGTTAGATAGCTCTTCTAGCCTTCACTCCAGCATAGACCCAAGGAGCTCCTTTGGCTTTCACATCACTGTATTACATGGTAGTATAATACAGTAGATTTTGAGGTGTTTTGTGATGTACCTCTACCTCATTCTCTGCACTCTGAAACCTCTTTCTTAGCTTTACTGTCTCTGTAGCAACCTTTATCTTAGTCTGTGATACAAGACGCACTTTGAGTGGGATAGATTTTTACCTCAGACTCAATGACTTATTTTAATTCAACCTCTCACTGATATGTATTTTTTGTTTTTTCTTTTGCTTAGTGACCACGTATCCCATTGTAACATCTACATCTGCAGGGTCTTCTGTCATAGATACTGTATAACAGAGCAATAAATGTTGTCTTTATTTAACAATGACAGCTCCAGCTCAGAATAGTTTTAATGGCAGTTTGTGAAACACAAATTTTAATTGGTTATGGTCATGGACACGAAGATGTGTGGGTAAGAAATAAATTAAACAAATGGTGACAGAAAGTCACAAGTCTACATACAGAAACACATAGATTGGATTGCTTAAAGTATTTCCATAAGAACAGTGTTTGAAGGCGGATTCACCTGCAGAAGCATTGAAACCTGGCCAAGCAGTGCGATTTAGTGTTGTTGTGGGACGTCACAAACATGTTTGTAATGTTTACACACTTATAAACTCGTTGTGAAGCATACTGCGAAGTGCACCCACACTAATTCCTTGGATCCATTTCTGAGAGCCATTTGTGGTAAATGCTAACACAACTTGAATGTGTTATTAAATTTGTGGTGAGTTTAAACCTTTGGAGTTTTGCTAATAGGCTAGCGTAACATCGACAGTCTTCCTTTTGAATTTTTGGGTTGTTGAATTTCTCAGCTGCTCAGGAGTTTTGGTCACATTCATTTTTCTATAAGCACTAAAGGCGAGGTTGATACCAAACTGTTATTCCTAAAGGCTTTACACACCTGCCCTGCTGCCACTTTCTGTACGAGTCGGCTCGTTTAGTTCTCTCGAGACTCGTAATGATTCCACTTTAAACCACTTTACTATGCAAAATGGTTCTGCCACAATGTGAGCACCACACAGAGCCACAAGTTCACAAGCTGTTGTAAGATCTTGAATTCCTCTAGTGCTGATTTCCAGTAAGTGCAGAAATGTTTCTTTGACATGTTGTTACATAAATACTGTTTTTGTAACTAAAGCTGACAGGAGCCATTAGAGAACCAAGAAAGCATTGTTTTTCTGTAACTATGTAACTATTCTCTGAATAAATGGTTAAAACTGTAAATGTCTGCATCATGTGAGTTACGTGTGAACTTTATTTTGTTTACAAAGTCACATCATGGCCGTCTTATTGGATGAAAATCAGATTCTTTAACAAATGTAATATAATGTTGGGATTAGGGAAATAATAGTTTAAAAAAGCATTTTAATTATAGTTGGGGGCAGAAAACTTTCAGAGTGAAAATAAATGTGAGTCAGTACAATGAAGTCATGGATGAAAGCATGCAGTCTGCATTTCCTCAGCTGAACCGTTTGACACTCGGGACAATTTTGTCAAACCACCAGGAAAAAAACCTCTTTTTATATTTTTCACTAGTAATTTAATATCTACATTTAGCCTGATGTTTAGTCACCCAGGAGCAGTTTGCCTTGGGAGACAAAGGCTCCTGTGACACGTGATCCCTTCACCACAGTGAGCAGTGATTTATGCTGCAGTAACACTATCAATGTTCTGTTAGAGAGCACCAGATCTCTTAATCACTTACTTTGGAATTAATGGTGCAAATTTGTCAAAAACTATTCTACACGCTTATTTCACAGTATGGTAAAAGTCAAATTTATATTCAGAAATGTTCACTGTCTTTTGCAATTTGAGGCTTTTTTTCTTAGTGTCTGAGGACTTTGTAGGAGACATTTTTATTGAATCTGTCCCAAATTATAGAGCCTGATTCTGATGACAAGAAATACCAGTGAAGATTTGACCTTTAACAGTTTTTCAAGTATTCATGTCCCATACAGAACCAAAATGATTTTACAAGCTCTGGACATTACAGGTTTAAATCCATGAATGCATAGCAGTGGACTGTGCTATGGCTTAATAAAAAGGTCAGTTCTGTTCATAATTCTGATTAATAATAATTGAATGAGTTCTGAATGAGCCTTCTAATGATACTGCCTAAGGGAAGCATGTATAATGTAAACAGAATTGGTCCTAGCACTGAACCCTGTGGAACTCCATAATTAACCTCAGTGTGTGAAGAGGACTCTCCATTTACA